CTACAGGAGAGGGGCAGCGGCCAGAGAGCTACTGGAGGGTGACAGTGAGCTATTGGCAAGCTACTGGCCCACAGATTCATGTGCAAGGCTACTAATATGTTATAAATCTTACTATACACTATCGGTTTTGCTTTAAACATGCAGTTATTTTAAAGGAGATCTAAAGAGTAAGAAAAATCCTATATAATAAAGATGCAATATGCAAATGGTCGTTACTCCGTGAAGTGTAATGACCAACCACATAAAACTGGATCACGGCTCAGCAAGAGGGTGGGCAGTGAGCTACAAGCAGGCAGTGGAGAGCTACAGGAGGGGGCAGAGCAGCAAGCTATGGGGGGTTCCCCCTCTTCCTCATCCACACTTCTTCAAAGAGGACATAAATGACCAAGAGACATGAAAAAAGGCTCAACATCACTAATCATCAGAGAAATGCAAATTAAAATGACAATGAGGCACCATTTCCAAGGCTACTAATATGTTATAAATCTTACTATACACTATCGGTTTTGCTTTAAACATGCAGTTATTTTAAAGGAGATCTAAAGAGTAAGAAAAATCCTATATAATAAAGAGCTAATATGCTAATGGTCAGGACGCCCTCACATGTAACAACCCATCAGCAGGAGGCTGTGGGTGCCTGTGCTGCGTGGTGGTTGCTCCAGAGATGGGGCGGAAGCAGGGAGGCTCCCAGAGGAGGCAGGACCAGCCTGAGGTGACTCGCAGGACTGAGGGCGGGCCTTGAAGCAGCCAGAGAAGGTTAGAAGGGTCGGAGGCGGGGCCAGGCACACTGGAGCTCTGAGTGGAGAGGTTGTTAGGGTGTCAAAGTGGGGCATGGGTAGGCAGGGCTGCGTGATTTCATGCACCGTGTCACTAGTTATTTTATAATTACCCATGTAGTAAACATTTCTGGTGTATTTATTCCATTGTGTAGATTCATTTTTATCCAATATTATTTTCTTTATCTCCAAAGGACTTCTTATATTTTCCAGATAGTGTAGGTCTGGTGATGAATTTTTACAGCTTTTATAAATACACAAAAAAGTTTTATTTTGTCTTTATTTTTGAAAAATATTTTCACTGAGTATTACTTCTAGGTTGACTTTTTATCTTTCAGTATTTACCTTTATGCCACTTTCTTCTGGCTTGTATTTTTTCTGGCAAGAAGGCTGCATTGCTTTTTCTTTGTTTGGTGGAGTTTTCTTCATGCTGCTTTTGCCTGGGTTTCATTGTGATATTAGAGTCTGTGAGCTCCTCATTTCCATTAAATCTTGGAAGATTTCAACCTGTGTGACTTCAAATACTCTTCTGTTTCACGCACCTTTCCTCTTCCTATGTCATGTACTGAAGTGGTCCAGCAGCTAAACACTTCCCTGTTAATATTGTTCTTTTCTCTTTCTCTCTGTGTTTAATTTTGGATAGTTTCTAATGTCGTGTCTTAAAAGTCACTAAGCTTTTCTTCTGCAGTGTCAAATCTGCCATTAATCACATCCAGCGTGTTTAAGTCAACATTGTAGTTTTTATTTCTAGAAATTTGATTTAAGTTTTTTAAAAACAACTCTCACGTCTCTTCTCAACAGGTTTGATCTAGTATCTCAAACAAGCGAAACACAATAGTAATAATTATTTTAATTTTCTATTTATTCTATCACCTCTGTCATTTCTGGGTCAGTAGTGATTATTTTCTCTGCATTATTGGTTATATTATCCTGCTTCTCTGAATGCTTATTAATTTTTTAATAGATGCTAGACATTGTTATTTCCACCATTCTGGTTGCTGGATATTTTTGTATTATGAAAAATGTTCTTGAGTTTGCTCTATTATAGGTTTATTATTGATCATTTCAGGTCTTGCTTTCAAACTTTATTAGTTATGATCAGAAAAAGTCTTATTCTAGGACTGATTTTCCCCATCTACTGAGTCAAAACCCTTCTGGATATTTTACCCGATGCCCCATGATTATTGAGGTTTTCCATTCCAGCTGTAAACAGCAACTATTTCCATTATTGTTTGTGGGTTAGGTATTATTTACTCTAATCCTTTTGGCAATTCTCACCCTGACCTTGGGTGGTTTTTCTTATATAACGTAAACTAATCAATCCTCAGCTGAAAACTTGAGGGAGACCCTGTAGGTCAGCAAAGTGCTTGCTCACTTCCTCTCCCGCTCGCTGTGTGCAGGGCGGACCGGTTGGTGCTCTGCCCTGCACACTTTTGGTTTACTTGGATTCCCAGCTCCATTTCCTCACCCAGAGATCAGGAGACTTTGCCGAGCTTTCCTCCTTGCAACGCCACGGTCCCGGTCTCGCTTGGCAGCCATTTGGGAAGATTCTAGGGCTTCCCTCCTTTGACTCCCACCTTTCTGATATTTCTATTTTTATGTTCAATGGCTTGAACATTATTGTTTCATAAACATTGCCCATTTTTCAGTTGTTCAGGTAGGAGGGTAAATCCACTCCCATCTTGTACTGAAGCATCTCTCTCACCTGCTACATTTTCACCCATTTTTAGATTACTCAAAAGGGTATGAGAGGTTACATAACTTGCTCAAGGTCACTCAGGTAGTAAGTAATACAACTGAATTTGGATATAAATATTTCAGACTTCCAAGATAGCGGTGTTAATCATAAGGCTGGTAAATATTTAATATGAATTAATGTATTGAGTAATTGATACATTTATATGTAGATATTATATTAAGAGACATTGACAGATTTCATATAGAATTTCCTTTTCCTTTCTCCCTTTAAAAGGTAAATGTGAGGAACGTAAAGGACCAATAATTTTAGTTTCTTCTGCTTATGAAATTGCTGTTCGTCCATGTCCCCTTAACCCAAATGAAAACAAAGGCACTATAAGTTGGTATAAAAATGACAGCAACACATCTATACCTATGGAAAGAGGCTCCAGGATCCATCAGTACAAAGATAAGCTTTGGTTTGTTCCCGCTAAGGTCGAGGATTCAGGGAGTTACTATTGCACAGTGAGGTAAGGAAGAAGTTACTTTGATACAGACATGTGTTCTGTGTACCTACAATAGTTAAGACAGAAATGTCCTTTAATAATGATTGATTCACCTATTTTGATTTATTTTAGAAATTCAACTTACTGCCTCAAGATTGAAGTAACTGCAAAGTTTGTACAACATGAACCTGACTTGTGTTACAGTGCACAAGCTATATTCGAACAGAAACTAATTATTGCAGGAAATGGACAACTTGTGTGTCCTTATTTGGATTATTTTAAGGATGAAAACAATGAGTTACCCAAAATAGAGTGGGATAAGGTAATGTCTTAATATATATATATTTTTAAATCTTTATTGTTGAAAGTATTACATATGTCTCCTTTTTTCTGCCATTGACATCTCTGTCCTGACCCTGCCCC